TAAACTTATTGATATAATAATAGAGCAGTCTAAGGTTATCTGTTTCCGCGTTAAAAGACTTCTTATCTTAGAAAATACAGTAAACGTCCTCCTATATTCATCTCGAATCTCTTCTAAGCTGTAAATGTCATAGCTTGGAGCATTTCTTTAGAGAGAAACGGAAATTTTATTCCCTGTATTTTCTTTTTTAAAAATGTTTTTAAAATTTTGCATATTAATTTTATTCAATTTTTTCAAAGTAAAATTGAATTTATGAAGTTTTAAAGTGCGCAAAATATTTAAATAATATTAATTGTTTCCATAGAATTACAGTATAACATTTATTATTGCTGAACAAGTTTTTTTTTCTTTATAAATCATGGGTTAGGTAACATTGTCTATAAAATATGTATAAATTTTGTGTATAATTCTCCGATATGCCGAACATTTACATCCAAACTTTTAGAATGAACATATTTCTTAATTGTGAAGTGTTGATTGATAAACTGCATATAATATCAAATAAAACATTTTTATTATCATGTATGCTTTTCTGAGAGTTAAATCAACACAAATTAGCCTATATTTTTATACAAAAGAAAAGTATTATAACATACTTATATACTTTATTGTAGAAAAGAGAAAGATTCCAATAAACAATTAACTAATAATTACTATTCATAGTTATTTACCATCATTACACCTTTACCTGATTGAAAAGTGTTCAGTCTGTTTTTACAATTGTCTGATTATATTAGAAAGGTTATAACAGTATTTATAACAGTAGCCTACTTAAGATAAATAAAACTAGTCTTGTAACATTTATATTTACAAAGTCAGAAGCTCAAAACTTTGTAGAGAATAGCTGAAGAAATTAACATCTAAGCATACAGAATACCCTGTTTCTGAAACTGGAGCCAAAAGTTTTTTAAAGACTATATAGCCGGGGTCTGGGGACTCGGGATCGAATCCGTGCAAGCAAATCCTCGGAAATTTTTCATAGGTGTTCCTTCCCGGATATGTCGGATTCTGTCCCTCACCATTTGACTTTGTATATAAATCTTACATAAACAGAAACAAAAACATTCTTGTTTTTGTAGCAAAATAAAAAGTTCGAAAAATAAGAACAGAAGAAACATTTAAACTCTTGTATAAATTCAGAAATAGAGATGAATAAAGCAATTGAAACTATGCTTTTTGTGGCATCAGAAGGGATATAAATCATAGAAACTTGATTGTAACATCAATAACTCTACTAACGAAAACAATTAAAGTTTGTCGAGGAAGAAAGTAAATGAAATTCAAAGTTATTTTTAACCATTAAGATAATTTTGAATTGTAAATAAATTTGAAATCATTTTTAACACTTTAAATTCTCCATTTCAAAAATTTTTCATATAATGTTGAAACATAAAAAGTACTGCATTCTTTTTACATAACTAATAGTTATATAAATAAATCTTTAAGATTATATTATCCTTTAAAAAATTAACTTAGGAATTTTTCTACATAAAAATAAAGTTAAGAAGCTTTTAAAATCCACTCGAAAAGATAATTTTTGAAAATTTTGCTGGACAAAATTGCCATTTAAATAACATGGTAAGTGGATGATATATCAGTATTAAGTAAATCACGAAGTTGTTTACCGAGAAAGCTGGCTTTGACAGTATCATTTGAAAATAATTTTATTAAAAAAAAGTGTCCATAAGTTAATAAGATTTTTCTGGAACATTTTTTAGACAAGTAAAGATGGCCGATAATCTAAACTAGATACTACGATGCTTGTTCTTCGACTACAAAGACTTTATCTTGACGTATCGAGAAATACGCTGATGTCACCAAATTACCTGTGAAGGAAACGTGACTTTACTTCAGTGCACTGCACTGCTTAGGTTCGGGAAAGTGAACACTATACTTCAAACTAATTCCTCTATTACCCAATACAGGTGATCTGTGTTCTAATCTTCTTAAGACGCTTATTGCTCTACAAGGCAGTTCTTGACATGTATTGCTAAGTTCGCTTGACGAAACACGCTCCGGGCATTAATATTAAGATTTAAATCCAACACAAACTATCCAAATTGTCAGATGGATAGATAAAATCTCCACGTTTGGATAGATTATAAGTAAATACGTAAAGATACATCAAAATACGTGCAGAATTTTTATAAAAGTAATCAGGATAAGAGAGGGGTTAAAGAAATATTTAAAATGATTGTAAATATAAAATATTATAATAGATGTGACCTTTACAGAAGATAATTTTTATCAAAATTAATTCTTTCCTGTGTCGAAATATGTAAACGAAGTAAGAGAGGAAAGCAAGGAAAAAAAATCCATGCATTACATAAACATGGATGAGAAGTTATATATAATTTCTATGTTTAATGTATATAATTTTAGGGCAGTAAAAATGATGGAAAGGTAAAGCAATGAAGTCGATGAAGGAAAGTATTGACACATGACTGTGGATCATGATATCATTATCGTAAAGTTTCGCTAACCTATTTTTCCTTACACGGAATTCCATTAACTATATGGAATATTTACAAAAAATATAATTTATTATTAAAGACATGGACTTGCAATCTTCGCCTGAGTTGTTGATGTCCTTGGAATGCTTTTATCAGATAATATCAGTATTTTATAATTATGAATACACTATTTAAATAATACTGTCTATAATATTCTATAAAAAATAATCATGTAAAATCTACCTATAAAAGTTCAAATCTAGTTAAAAATATTCAATTATTTAAGTTATTGAAGAAATAAAACACTCGAAATCATCGTCAGAATGTGACTTTGATTATATACAATTTATTTATTTTAATTTTATAATCTCCAAATTATTTTTCTTAATGAAGTTTAATAGTAGAAATTAATTATGTTACGTCCTAACTTAATACGAGATTATATTACAGAAATATTATATAAGTTTTAAATAAATATTTAAAATTTCGATTTAATGTATAAACTTCGTTATTAATAAATAATTAGGTTTATATTGCTATAGTTACACTGATATAAATATTTTGAAAGTCTTATACTGAATGTATTTATATTCAAATGCGATTAATATCTTTTGATGTTTGAACTTCTTAACGTAATTGAATTAGACGTTTCAAACATATGTTTGTCGTTTTTTGTTCCCTTGTTTTTGTATTTATTTCTAAAGAAATAGCTTGATTTGTGAGGACCATCTGACTAATTCCCTAAAGAATCAAAAAGTGCAATCAGATGACGGTGTCCATGACCAATTCAATTGATTATTGGGCTTGTTTTCTACTTGTTTGCAGCTTTACTTTCAATACAATTAAGTCAATTAAGTCATTCTTCTATGTAAACTGAATTCAGTTAATAAGAGTATATTCAATATTCCAAAAGTCTGATAGAAAGTAAATAATAAAATATAATATTCAGTAAAAATGAATTCGTTTTTATCTTATAAATTTAACACAGTTATAAGCAACTTTATATATAAAATATACATTTCACGTATGTGGTGTGCGTTAAATATACTTATAGAACAAAGGGAAATTAAACATTAGAATGAAAACATTAATGAAATATGGTATATTTAACCATTAATTCGTCGTAAAGAAATTTTATTTTATATTCGAAAATTTATAAACTGAAATTTAATATAATTCTTATGTGGTTATTGTTACAAGAATATTGAATTATTCTTTTAATTATAACAAAAAAAAATAAGATAACAGAAAATATATATTTTATAGCTTATTGATAAAATATTGAAGATGTTTGCAGGATGTTGATCCTGTTACAAGACATAAAATCGATGCATTTGTCAGTAGGATAAGCAACGAGTAACAGAAAAAACAAATTCTCGGTTCTTCCGCAATTCATCTTCTACAATATCGATTGCTTTTAATAATAACTAATTCACGTATATTTCTATTATTGTTTAAGTTATGATTTTAATAAAAAAAACCGGCTGATATTTTCAATTTATTTAATAAAATTCACTTTTTATTGTGTTATATCCATAAATAAAAATACAATAAAAATAAGAATTTATTTCGCACTTTTTCCAACATTTTTTTAATTTCTAAAAGAGAAAATCTTAATAGTGTTAATAAATATATTCATTTATTAATAAAACTTCTATTTTTTACCGATATAAGTACAATAAAATGTAATTAATTTAGATAATTTATTAATAGTTTAGACGTAGGCGAACTTAATAAATAAATAAATAATTATTTTGGGAAATTTTAATGATTTTAAAAAAATATTATTAAATAATTTACTTTTTAAAATAGTTTAATAATATATAATTATGAATATTTTTCTAAATTACACCGATAATCAATTTTATATAGAAATTTCAATGATCTAGATTGTTAGGGATGATTAAACAAGTTTTTACTTCTTCGAATACTTGACATAGTTGGAGATAAAGAATATTGAGTTTAGAAGAATGCATTTTTTTCATTAAAATAAAAAAAAATCGTTAATAAGAACGAAGCCATCGATAAAATTTCTTTCACCCCTTTAAAAATTAAATTTTTTAAGTAGATATTTATTGATCGCAGATTATTTATTTATTTATTTTGAAATTTTACTTAGGATTTACAAGGGGGAGTAAAAATCAGTCTTTTTTTTTATAATAAAATAGCAAGTTATATTAAAAACGAAATAGTATTTAAATAATTTATATTTATAGTGTATTTATTTATTTATTTCTTAATTTATTTCGTTTAGAAAGATAAACTTATTACATACTAAATATTATTATGTAACAACGTTATATAATATAGCCTATTTTATTATATAATGTATAAAAAATAAATATCTCATTCGACAGGTTAAATCTATAATTTTCGTAATATTTTTTGCAGTTAAATGAGATTGATTAATTAAAATGTTTATACTCTGACGTCATTTATGAGTTTATATGTTTATAATTATTATAATTTGCGAGTTTTCGAGTTTTTTGTAGTAATAGTAATTTTATCCAATCAGAAATATGTTTAAAATGTAAAATTTATTTTCAGAAAACGAATTTGATGATTTAGATACGGATCACACACGATTTAGGCCAGAAGCTATCGATACATTATGCCAGTTAACTAAATTCAACAAAAGAGAACTGCAGTTGATGTATCGAGGATTCAAACAGGTAAATTGAATTAACGATAATATATAGTTTTGATGTTACATTTTAAACTGAATTGTGCTTCACAATTAATTTAAATGCAGGAATGTCCTTCTGGTATGGTGAAAGAAGAGAAATTTAAAGGTATATATGCACAATTCTTTCCTAGAGGTGCGGAAACCAGTCAATATGCTCATTATGTGTTTAACACGTTCGACCAGGAACATACTGGAGCAATAACTTTTACAGTACGTATTACTATGAATTTCTTATTTAAAAAAAAGGATCAAATTCTTGTTTTCAGAAATATATTTTTGAGTATAAAATTTCAAAAAAAGAATTTTCTATTGAACAGGATTTTGTGATTGGTTTATCAGTATTAGCGAGAGGTTCTCTTCAAGAAAAACTTCGTTGGGCTTTCAGTTTGTACGATATTAATGGAGATGGATACATTACAAAAGATGAAATGACTAGGATCATCAATGCTATCTATGACCTAATGGGGAAATCCGTAGAACCGATGGTTGAAGATACGACAACAAAAGATCACGTAGAAAGAGTTTTCCAGGTAATAAAATATCAAATTATTATCTGAAAGATCAATATTTTTGTTTTTATCTTCAAAAAAGTAAAAGATAAAGAAGTAGATTCAGCACAGGAATAGAAGTTATAGTCATCATCTTTTATAGAACTTACAGTAAATGGATTAAACTGAAGTTAATATCTATATAATAATTTTGAAATTTCTCTAGATTTTTAAATAGTATTCCAAATCAATAAAGGGAAATTATTTGTAAATATATTTTTGCTCAATTATAATCAAAATTATATTTTAAAACCATTTAAAATGATAAAAGAAAGAACATTTTGAATTCTTATTTGTAGAAATTATGTTTTTGTATTTAATTAAAATCAGTGAAGATAATACAAAGTTTATAATTTCTTTGTAATTTAATGGTATATTTTCATAGAAACTTGATTTGAACAAAGACGGCGTTGTATCCATGGACGAATTTCTCGATTCGTGCGCAAAAGTAAGATTTGAAATTTAATTTCCTTTATACAAGTGCAATCGTAGAACGAAAGACGATAATAATAATACTCTATTTTATTTAGGACGAAAACATTTCGAATTCTATGTCAGTATTCAATACCATGTTGTGATTGGTTCTTCTACATTAATTTAAACAGAAAGCGAGCGATTCGTTATTCGTCACTATTCATCTCTAAACATGGCGATGAAAAGCCCCAGCTTGAAAGTCAGCAGGTGCTAAAGATGCCACCCCAATTGGTATCGAGGTGTGTCACCACAGTGCCAAGTGTGTAGTTAGGAAGCCTCAACGATGGTATATTTCTACCTTTATGTGCTTACGTGTTTATATATGTGTATCATCTTACCAAAGACAAGTACTGTGTCAGGTATCTCTCACAAACTTCCCAACACGGGAAGCATGGCCTTAGTACTACCAGACCCATCGCAGATGTAGCAGTATAGAATTAAACATGAAGAAACGAAATCACTCATCACTTGGACGAAAAATTACAAAAATATCCAGAACCTCATTTTTGAACAATACTGAGAAGGAAAAAAATCTAAGAAACTTTTAGATTTGTAGTTTATGTTACTTCTTTCTTCATATTCTTATTCAGTGTGTGTTAAGAAAGTTTTAAATTCTTAAAAGATAAATATCAGCACAGAAATCTCGTTAAAAACATCCCTATTTTTTCCAAAAATACAAAGAAGCCTTAGAGCTATAGAAAAATTTGCAATTTGTGTAAACAATTATCGAGAAGAGCTGATCCAACCGGTTCCATGCGCTGGTTTAATAAAGGTTCTATTTTATAATACTGGAATTTATAAATTGATACATTAATATCCGACAAGTTGCGATTTTAGAACGAGAGCCTTTTAAACTAACGCATGGACATTATATGGACAGCACTGCCTAATCCTTACCTATAATTTTCCTCGTGTCTAAATTTATTTTTGAACTATTGTAGATTGTTACGCTTCACAATTTAGGCCTTCAAAATATAATACATATATGCATTCATATACCTATAAATAAATATAAATATAATATATATTTAGATTTTGAAAGAATAGTAAAAAAAAAAAAAAAAACTTTTAATAAATTTCTCTTCTCTTCTTGATGATATTTGAAACGAAAACAGAAACTTTATGTGTATTTACAATTTTTTGTCTTCGATCTTTAAATATTGTAATTTATAATTGTTAGAAAGCTCTGAGAAGGAAAAATACACTGTAAAGAGATTTTTTATTTTTTATCTTGTATAAGATTATGTGTTTCCTATTTTTTCCATGTATTTCCTGTAAGAGAATTTTGATCGAAATATTTGTAATTAATAATTTCCAAATCACTGATGATAAAGTACATCAGTGAGTTCGAAACCCTCTATGAGGATGTACAGGAAAGCTTCATTAAATGAAAAATTACGTTCTCTGTTATGTTTGTATATTTATTATATATATATATATAAAATGTTTTATAAATTACATAAAAATTTAAATTTTATTAATATAATGAGGGATAATCGTATTTTTATGTATAAACAAAGTTAATTTAAAAGAGAAAAACTTGATAAAAATGCTGGCAGTATAACATATAAATACTCGAAAATATGAGTGATTTATATATTATTATTATTATTATAATATTTAATTTCATAATCTTCCAAAATCTAAGTTTATAATGTTCGAAATTTATATATTAAACTTGACGCATTACTTAGCTTTATATTAATCAGTCAATATCAATAAAATGAAAAGCCAATATTAAAATTGTTTGATATGGATAAAATTAATTTTTCTGAAGTTGAATTTCATTAAAATTTATTATAAAAAATACAAAATTTCATAATAAAATAAGAATTGCATTGATATAGATGAAAGTAGCAAACATTATTAGTATCAATAAGAAATTAAATACTAAATAATATATTAAAAGACATTAATAAATTTAGAAATATAATTTTAACAATTTAATTAGATTAAAAACTATTTTAGAAATTATTATAAAACATAATGAAAATATTTGCTTCAAAATATATTAAAGATTAAATAAATATTTTATTATTTATTCGATTTATTAAAATATTTGTTGCTTGTTAAAGGTTTTAAACAGTGATAAAGTTTTAAATAAATTTTAAAATTAGAATAACACAATTATGTAAATATAAGTTAATTTACTATCGTCTATTCTCAACATATAAAAGCATATATCTTTTTTTTTTGTGTGGAAAAATTATAGGGAGTAACTAGAGTAAGAGTGAAGAATAAATGATCCAATCTCTATCAGTGTTGGCTTCCTTAAGATAGAACTTTTATCAGAAACAAAATGATTTTTCATACTACGATAAGCTTATCTAGTAAAGGAAATCTATTGTGTAGCACGTAATATTTTTTTCAGAAGTAAAATTATGGAGAAAATTCAAAGTTATAAATTAATTTCGCACGCATTGAATAAAGAATAAACTTCATATATCCTTTTTTTCAACAGGAATTTTATACAATATATAGAAAAGCATAGATTATAGAGACATAATACTAACCACTATCAATAATTAATTAAAACAACACTAAAGTTTAACCTAATAAACGTAATACATCCAGCGTTACCCACTTAAATATAATGCGAGTCCTGAATAATTTAATGTTCAAAGATTATAAGGATTAAACTTTAATCTCCGAGTTAAGCAACCGCTCATAAATTAGAAACTCAACTTTCTAAAAATAGTTCATATTTTTATTAGTAGGCCTACTGATAATTATAAATTATTAAAGTACTCACGAAAAATTAGCTATTAACAAAATTAAATATTCACTAGTTTTCATCATGTAATGTGTATAGGCCTATACATAAATATATATATATTTATTTTTTTCCCCTTTTAAATAGAGGGAAAAAAATATTCCAAAATCGAATTAGCCATGTAAAAGCTAAGTAACTTTTCGATAATAATTTAATATTTTATTCATACTTTTTCAAAAGTTTACATTATAAATAAAAAAAATCAAAAAATAATAAATATGAATATAATTCAAATGCATTTTGATTCTATTTTATAACAAAATAACCGATATTTTGTATACAATAGATTTGTTCTTATAGAACTAACACTTAAAGAGCACTTAAACATAATTAAGCCCTATTTTAAAGCTAACCAATGTAATTTTGATTAAATCATTCGTTCATTAATATGTTTGCTCCTTCGTATTATTAAATTATCAAATCTGAGCAGTTTCCATTCAATTTCTCTCTTAAATTAAATTAAATAATTTAAGTTACGTTTGCTCATTAAGTGACAAAACTTCACTCCATCAAGTTTCAGTTTTGAATAGAGTTTAGGGTCTTCTTGCTTTACGTGGACCCAAGTTTAATTAAGTTAATCTCTAATTGCATTAAAATAAAAAAAACCAAGTACGTTAACATCTTTTTCTTTCCTATTTTTTATATTAAATTTAAATTTGTACCAAGTATATTTTTTATATTAAAATTTGCATATAGAAGTGTCCGCATTTATAATTTTTGCTCGTCGAATTTGATAGTTCTTCGTAGCTCGATATAACAATAAGTTAAACTTATTTATTTTGGATGAATGAAGATATAAATGGCGCCTACAATTCTCAATTCAAATCACTAGATTGATTAACCAAAGGAAGATGCAGAGCCAATAAACAGAATAAATTTTTAACCTCCGTTTTTCCTTCCTAGGCGTCATTTAGTCCACGAAAGAAAAACATTATCGTAGATTTAAGTTAATTACATGTACTGAAGATGCTTTTATTCTGAATTATTTTCTAAAAAAGTAAATATATATATATATATATATACTAAGATAGATTTTAATTCATTTTTTAAAAAAATATTTATTGAAAAATATATTTAAATAAGCTAAATAATTTAATTTAGAAGTATTTCGGGAGACATAATCAACTGGGATATAGACTTAATATACATTTTATAAAGGTTCATTGATATATATATTACATATAGCTCAATCAATCTTAAAAAAATGTCTTTATTGATTTTTAAAGTGAATTTATTCATACTTGAATAAATATGCATCAGGTGAAAAATTAAATTATTCAATTTTCTGTCAAGTCTACTTTTAATTTGTAAAAATTTATTATTTTATTGAACGAATTAATTGGAATTAATGAAATTTTTCCATTCATTTTAATCGCATTATATTAATTATTGTTAAATAAAACTAAAATGAATTTTTAAAAAAATGTTAGTTAAATGTGTAATATAATTAATCGATAAAACGATATTAAATTAGTGAGAAAATTTTATAAAGAATTTTTTTAAATGAAATTTTAAAATTGAATTTCGGTTATTGCTTCTATTCAATAATTTTTCTGGAATTTTAAAACCGTTTTTAGTACTTTATATATATTTTAAAGCAAAATATAACGAGAGCAGACGTGTTGAAAATCTCATATATTCTTTATCTAACAGGAAAGACCGCACCTTAAATAAAGATAACTTCTACTCAATATTAAAAATGTTTCAGTTATAGAAATTTTATGACGGCAAGATCTTTGAATACAGAATAACTTTCTATGAAAAGAATATAATTAATTAATTTAATTATTATTAGAAGAATTTTCATAGAAAAACTATAGAAAAACTATTCTAATATATTGCAAGAAATACAATATTATATTACAGATATATAAGAGAATAATTAATCAGTATAATTCCGAAATTAAGGCTCTTTGGTTATGCACGTGATCTTTAACAGATGGCGGTAGAAATTTAATGTTTATCTATGGGAAAATCGTTTTCCAAATTTTCTGGAAAACGAAAATAGATAGAACCGAATAGTTTTTTGCATTAGAATCCTAATTAATTCTTCTATTAATGTACGGTTCAGAATTTACGAAATCGAATTTGTTAATTTTCTATAAATTTTCTACGACTTTAAAAATTCGTAGAAAATAAACGTATTTGATTTTGTAAATTCTGAACCGTACATTAATAGAAGAATTAATTAGGATTCTACCGTAGAAAACCGTTTTATTCTATCTATTTTCGTTTTCGACAACTTTTAGAAAAGTCTTTTTCCATAGAAAAAGCATTAAATTTTTACCGTCATCTGCTGGAGATCACGTGCATAACCAAAGCGATCATAATCATTTTTTATTCTAATTTTAAGAAATATTACATTACAATTTTTAAAAAAATAAAATTCGTACCAGAAAGAATAAATCTGTATACATTTTTATGTATTAATTTTATTTAATTATGCAAATTTTATGTATTAAATTTTACAAAATAATAAAAATTCAATATCTATCAAAAATATAACTTTTATATATATATATATATTATTTTTATTGAATAAGAAGATATGAGCCTATGACAAAAACAACAAGTGAAGTTATAGAAAGCTGCGAAATGATAAAATGATGTTTAGCTCTTCCTTTCTTTACAGGATACAACTTATCAACTATTTTGTAATTGTAGTTGACTGCAGGTGTCAATTAGATTGTTTCTTTGGCTGATTGTTTCTAATCTTTTAAGAGGATCCCCGGGGAATCTATTAACAGGTCTGACTTGATAATACTTCAAGAGTAAATTATTTATACACTTCTTCACAGTGCCTATAAAAGAAAAATAAAAAAAAGCTTGTCAAATATTACTTTTATAAAAGAAAAAAAAGTAAAAATAATTTTGAAAAATCATTCTTCTGTATTAAATCTTGATTACAAGAATTTCTAAACGTGTAATTTTGATAATAATGTAATTAGAATAATAAGAACATTCGTAACAGTATATTAAGAAAATAAAGAAGTTGGCAAGTAATTTTATGTAAATAGTAAAATTTACCTTTAAAATGTTTTTCTTAAGTACTTAGATGATATTAAACATTAAATTTTCTTTTTTTTTTTAAATTTGAGTTTTCTGTATGAAAATATTAAAAATCAATTGAAAAATTATTCAGCGAAAGAAGGAAATAGCCAACAGGAAAATCAGTCCTATTCTGAATATTTAATTTTAAAAAATCGAAAAAAATATTTAAAAATTAATGAAAAGAAACCATTCAATTATAAAATTTTTCAATTAGACGAGGATATTAAAACGAAAATATTAAAAAAAAAAAAATGTTAGTTGGAGTCAGAGTTCATAATGAATGGTATTGTTTAATTGGCAATAAACTTTCATTTATGGCATCAGGTGAACGTACTTCCTTTATTAATCAGATAANGAATATATATATATATATATTATTTTTATTGAATAAGAAGATATGAGCCTATGACAAAAACAACAAGTGAAGTTATAGAAAGCTGCGAAATGATAAAATGATGTTTAGCTCTTCCTTTCTTTACAGGATACAACTTATCAACTATTTTGTAATTGTAGTTGACTGCAGGTGTCAATTAGATTGTTTCTTTGGCTGATTGTTTCTAATCTTTTAAGAGG